ATCCTCGATATGTTAGAGTTGATCCAGGGCTTTGAGGGGTCACAGTATACCTTCTTTTCAACAGTATTGTCAGCCGTTTCGCTTAGGACTCGTTGAGCGAAAGTGTCCCACATATCTTGGGTGCTACGGTTGTTAAGCAAAGCAGGCCAGTTGACTTCAGACAGGGCTTGGTTAAGAGCATCGTGGTTTACAATTTTGATGGTTTTAAACTTATCGGTTGTAGAACGACTATTTATATTGAACTGGAGAGAAGATAAAAGTGAACAGTGGTCAGACTTGCCAAAAGGTGGCAAATAATCTAAATTAGAAACAAAGTCGGCGTCGTTAACGAATATCAAATCCAGAGCCCTATGCGTCTGTCCTTCCCTGAATCTCGTTGGACGATCAACAAGTTGAGATATGCTAGAGTTGCGTAGCAAGTCGATGTAAGCAGCAGAAGAAGAATTGCATTCAGGAATGGTTGACATAGGCCAGCTAATGTCACGTAGATTGAAGTCACTAGCTATGAAAACGTTGGTGTTTTTATTTAAGAGATCTGAAATGAGACTGCACAGGTGTGTGTCTCCCAAACAGGGCCGTGGCCGATATATGCAGCCTATCGTGAAGCTGAAATTTGGGCACTTCAATTCCAAAAATACATTGTCAATGCCATCGAAAGGGTAGTAGAGTAGAGTAACCTCTGAAGGATCGTATGAATATCCCAGTAAAGCCCAGGTTCTGCTAAATTGACGAGATACCCTTCCTCAAATACATAATACGGAATCTAACCTCCTTATTATATACAAAGACGATATAGCTTGGTGCCTTGATGACTGGGGAGCTTATTTGATGTTCATGACACGGCAATCTCGTCAATTGCATCAGCTGATGGGGAAAAGTTGTTTAGTGCTGAAAAGTACTTTTCTCCATTTTCCCTCACTCTAACAAAGCCAAGATAAGATTCAGCCTCGAGTACCGCTCATATGTCTGTAGTGCTGAATCTCCGACTGCACTAACTATGCTTGACGTTTTCCAAAAAAGGGAGTTTCAGACGATGGTACTTCTCTATCAATGGGCGATCAGCTTAGAGGCTTTGTCTCTCAGAGCTCTGTTCCACGATGCCGCCGCGCATTGTGGCTGCCACAGGGACTTGCCAGAATTTCCCCATCCTAAGTTTATCCAACTTTCAGAACTACACATCCTGAAGGTATTGAAATAGATTTATCTATTTCGGGCTTCTGCTCCCTTAATAACACAACTTCAGGATGATCAACTTTTTTGTGTCTAAAAATGTATATTGACATTTACTGCGGTCATTCCTCTGCCTAGCGCAGCATTTTCGGTGAATTATATTACTTGCAATACCTAACAAGTTTCTAATAACAATATATTATACAGTATGATCTAATCATATTACACCGCTCCCGATATTCGAAAGAATTTTCTTTCTAATGAAATGGAAATTCTACCTCGTTGAGAATATTTTATGGCACGACGAGTTAAATGATATAAAATATGTATAAACAAATTTGTAAAAACTGTTTATTTCTTGATTGGAATTGGAATCTGTATTTCTTCTGCTATTAACTATCACATCTCTTTTTCTCGACGCCTTATGTCGATGCTCCTCCTAAGCACATGAAAATTCTGTAGTTTGGAATAATGTCGCTATTTTAAAAAGTGTGGGTATTATTTGGTTGACAATCTGTTGACGTACTTCGTACAGATACTTAGGACCGAATCGTCAGTCGAGCCTAAAATTGAGGACGCCTTTCTGGCCTCCTTGATTTTGATAGTTCTTCCTGTCCTTCAAAAAGGCGTTCTACTTTGAGGTTATGTTACAAATCTCTATTTGCACCAAATTGCTTATGCGTTTTATTTTTATCATGTATGTTATTAGCCTAAAGATTCCTACAATACTAAAAGAAAACATAACTAGGAGAACGCTGACATAGAACAGTAAAAATCTAGAAATATCCCAGCCTTCTGAAGGAGAGAAAAGACTATGGAAATCAGGTAGGCCATAGAGGCGTCCTAGAACTGTAGAAATGACTGACAATACGGTCCTAACAAGTGAAGATCTCCAGCACCACAATATTAACCCTGTATCGGTCAAACCATTTGGACATAAAAGGAAAACTGTTTTATTTCAACATTTAATACCAAATAGTTCAAATAACAACTTAGAACCTATAAAACTAAACAAGACATAAGGGAAAGTCTTTTGAAAATGTCACCATTTGGTTACATTGTCCCAATAAGCAGGGTGGAAGATTGATAAAGGCTTATCTGGTCTACAATGTTTCTAACAGCATCAGTTGAGAAGTACTCCAAAAACACTGAGGTGTGCTGGGATTTTTTTCATTACAGTAAATTTGATATTCCTCATCAGAATCTGCTCTTTCCTCTAGCTCTAGATCATCCTTAGTCCAGTTCCAGGAAGGTATTGACTTGTTTTTCTGCGCATTCCTTCTTGTTGGCTGGTTGACGTCTCTACCTTTATTTATTATTTATGGTCTCGTCTAGATCAGTTTCCTCAATATCCGCATCTGCAGTTTGTAAGAAATTAGCAGGTTCCTCGTCGCTCTCATAACTCACGATTCTAGCTTCCTATACATCATCATCGGATGAATCCGACAAATCAGAAGTATTAGGGTCAGAAGGAATTAGAATATGACGTTTGCCATAAAAATTGCGAGGTGGATCTCTCCAAAGGTTATAGTAAAATTCTGAAAAAAAAAACATTTGTAACATAAATATGTATTAAGGAGCAGTTCATAAATGGTCATTGTATCCATACGGTCACATTACGAAAAGGGCAACGTGACCATACGGATACGTCGTATTTCAAACATCAAAATGAGGAAAATTACGCTAAATACGCGCAAACTATTTTGCTGTAGACTATAAATTAATGTCTAAGTACTAGTATGTAACAAAAAAAACTGCATGAACTTACTTGTTTTGCAAATAAACTCAAAATTATTCACCACACTAGTCTACGAACGCCAAACAGGTTTCGGTAGGCGGCCATAAGGAATTGTAAAAATGTTTCCTTTCGTCTTCAGATGACCCTGTAGTATATAAGCATTTACAGAAACCATAACTTGATGTACACTCGAGGCCAAGCAAAGCTATTTAAACAGATAAATGAGCTATGTGGGTATGAAGTGAAATGTAACCATATGGTTACAAAAACCGATACAGGGTTAATTTAAAAAAAAATCTGTCTTATAGTCATGGCCTCCAATTCCATTTCATCCAATGCATCATAGCTCGAGAGAAATTAGGCAGAGAAAATACTGGTTTTACTAACTCATGATGATGGCTTCAGTTTGGTATATTCTTCATTTATGTTTTGTTAAATCACATTTATTTATTTAATTTCTCTGGCAAGTCATGCAAATAGCACACCTAGTGTTACTTTGGGATAAACTTCTTAGTGCTGCATGACCCATTTATGTAACATTAACAGTAGCCATTACGTAAAAAGCGCGTTTTATCTTTTTAGGAACTATTTAGTTTGTCTTAGACTTTTATTTTCATTATTTGAAAGACTTCGTCAAGAGTATATCCCTTGTTGTAGGAATGTCATTTTTGGTTGGCTTATGCACGAACATTGCCCAATGAAGAGCTACAGTATTTCTTTTATACCGTATTTTCCATTTTTTCATGAAGTTGTTATCAACCACCCAGATCATATTATCAGCAATGGTTCTACTGTGGTAGATACTTTTTTCAACTTAGTGACTCATGTTTTCACATTTATGTTAGCCATTCTGTAGTAGTTTATATTCAAGACTATGACGTACTGATATGAAGTCTCAAAATCAAGCATCGCAGGACCTGCTCCATCCCATAGAATAATCGTACACTGTTACCTTTATATCATAATATACAGGGTGTAAACCTTATGATAGTCATTGTTTAAATGGGTGATAGAGAGTGTTAAAAGAAGCAAAAATCTTCTTATAACAGGGGGTCCAAACGGCCTTTTTTTAGAGAAAAGCGGCTTTAAAGTAAAATAAAATCTAACAAGGCCGCAATGCCAGATGCAAATTACGACGGAACGCAGTGTAAACAAAGATGGAGTTTGTTATTTTTCGCTCTTAGGTATTATTTCATTATTTGATAATGTCGGTACTCGTAAAATGCAAACAATTAAAAGAAAAGGACTTACCAGTAGCTGTCTTAGCGCTTCACCTGGTGTCTGAAAGTTTATTGAACGTATTAAAAAAATCCACTTATAAATAGGGAACACAATTTTGATACATACACTTCTTTTTAAAACCCACACTGCACTTTTTGCATTTAAAGAAGGTGTTCAAAATGTCGTCCTCCACTTTCCACACAAGCTTCATTACGACGAACCCAGGACCCCAGTTTCTTCTTACTCAGTTGTTATTGGGCCAGCCCCATAAACCATCCCTTTAAGTTCACCCAATACCAGAAATCTATCGGACTGAGGTCAGGAGGCCTTGCTGGCCATTTTAGAGGATCATGAACATTTCGACCGATCCAGCGATTTGGATAATGTTCATTCAAATACTGAATGACGTCTCTAAAAATGTGTGGTGGTGCCCCGTCATGAAGAAAACACAAATTCTGTCTCTTGATTCGATAACATTGTAAATTAACACGACGACGTACGTGAATGAAAACAAAACAACATACTAGCCACTGTTACCGTTTGCCGCTTGAAAAGCAATTGATAAACACTTGACAAGCCACAAGTGATAAAAACAATATGTAATATCAATTGAACCTATAACTCACGGAAATAAAGCATGTAAACTTCGTCGTGAGCCTAGAAACCAGTATTTTGGAACACAATAAATTCACTATGTCGCCCTTCCTTTACCAAGTTCTGTCACATTGGACAAAATGCTGATGGAGCATGAGCAGGGACGTGAAGACATATCCATAGGTTCTTTGTAGATGCAATATGTGTATTTGTCCTTAAGAACTTTCCTTGTGGTGCCAGAACCATTTTAAACAGTCATATCTCCTTTTATTTTCAGATACATAGCAGTAACTCAACCAATAAAGTACGCAAAGCACAAGAACACGCGGCGGGTATGGCTGACCATAGCGCTGGTATGGGTGATTTCAGCAGCGATTGGGTCACCCATCGTGCTGGGCCTCAACAACACCCCTGACAGGGTGGCGGACGCGTGCCTCTTCTACAACAGCGATTTTCTCATCTACTCCAGCCTCTCGTCCTTCTACATACCCTGCACCATCATGGTCTTCCTTTACTACAGCATATTCAAGGTGAGTTACTTATAGTTATGGCAGCGAAACAGTCTTCTATATCATCTAGTTTTTCTTGAATCATAACAAAGAGCTCCAATAGTTTAAATTACAAAGTAATGCTTTTTTAGGATGAGTGGGCTATTATACGTCGATACGGATTCACTAATTGAGAAGAGTCGTGAATATTTATAGAAAATATGTAAAAAATATTGTTAATTGTAAGTGATCTCACTTGGTGAAGCACTTCCATCATACGATCGGATAGCACAACTTCTGTGCAAGTTTTACATTGAAACGCTGTAATGCGCCTCATTCTTATTTGGAAAACATCGCCATACAGACACTGATAATAGGCTACTCAGATTAAATAAGCGAATTTTCATGTTCCTCAGTTAGAGAAATATGTATTCTTTTTCGGGGTACAAGTCGGAACATTTTATTTCGAGATAAGCCGCTTTCTGCTGCTTTGGCTCTCCACACCCCTGTCAATAGATTGAAATGGTTTTGGTTGGGAACAACTCTTCTGTAAACCGTATTTCTTTCACCTTTGATTGAACAGTGACCATCGACCCAGTGTTTGTGATTTGTTGGGCAGTTAATGAGGAAACAGAGGTGAAGTGCTCTTTTAATGCGATATCGTACATTTACTGGTCTTGCCTGACTAACGCCAATAACCAATCAGGCTCTCCGTTAACCTTCCTTTGGTCAAGCTCTTTAGTGACCATAACAAAAAAATAATCTTTGAATTGACTCTTAATTGACAAAATCGACTGAACTGTATTTTAGGTTATAGCCTCGCCGGTTGTATTTACAGATGATAAACGTATGTCATAAAAGTTTTGACATAAAATTCATTGGCTGTAATATTAACAAACACAAAATGAGATCAAGTTGCCTTTCGAAACAAAAGTTTGTTTACTTACTTTACTGTCAGTCGACATTTATTTATTTTGGTTTTCACCTTGAGATGTCGTATAAATAAGAAATAAGAAAAAGTATCTACAAGTTGGATTAGCGGGTACCCAAACCTGAAATCTGTCGAATATTCCAGAAGGAAAACGTTTCACGTAAAACCATTTATTGAACGATGGCGGAGTGCGAGCACGGGATATTATGTCTGAATCTCCTAAAAAGTGAAAGACCACGTGCATAAACTGTTTATGATCTTTTGCCATGTTCTGCTTCATAAATATTGCTAGTTTCTTTGGATCACCCTGTACAACCACTATGAGAAATTCGTCACAGTGGGTAGTTATGCTATATATCAGTAATGTCAGACCCTTTTCGCCGCCTCGTCTCAATGGCAATGCGTACAAATCGCGATTATGTCTGCTTTTATCAATTCTTTCAAGACGATGTTTATTATGCCATCATTCTCATGCGTGGCCGCATACTTGCGCTACTGCGTAGTAACTTTCCAAAATACTGACATAAATCATACGATCTTTAAGAAGGAGACATGGGTCGGATCAGATAAACCCTTATATTGCGATTATGATGAAATATTGTCCAAGATATTGACGATATATTTCATAGCTACCACAAGTCATCACTATGGATACGTTGAGCTGCATTCAGCTGGTGAGCCTCGAATTTTCGATTCGAGATTAATTGTAGTTCCACTGCCAACCATACGACATCTAGAAATGTGCATTTCAATGTCAAGTTTGGTCTAAAGCTGTAGACATAGGGTAGACTAGTAAGATGTAGTCCAGGTAAAAGTACTGACAGCGACCGAAGTTGCTACGGATGGCACGAGACACATCACAAAATACACAAAAGAAGATATTTCATATTCAGTAGCAGCGTTTTCGCATCAACAATTGCATGTCTGTTAACCGGAACCGGAAAAACGAATTTACGGACAACTGACAGTTAACTTCCAAGTTATAGTTAGGCGACTTGAGGGTTAGCTTGAGATTGGGAAACTGGTTGTACAGGCTGATACTGCGACACGAATATCGCACACTATCTTTTTTTTTCCGGGACCGTCGCCTTGAGCGACTGGGTCCTATGAACCGCCTCTTTCCCGGAACTCTCATGGTGGACATATCTTCAAGTTGGGGGCTGTCTTTTCTTCTTTCTTCTGTCGATTCTCTGCGGTGCTCAGCGTGCGATGTCTTGCTGCTTTTTTGGGTTCGAGGACGGTACGTACAAAAGTAGCTACGGCATTCCAGTTTGCTTGCGAGGCGAGCATCAGCTGGACGATGCTGTCCGGGTGTACATCGACCTCCAGTCGGTTCTGGCAGTTGTTACGTTCTGCATTCCACCTCTCGTATTCAAAAAACGTATGGAATGCATCACCTGGAAAGCCACAGTGCAGACATCCGGGGTCTTCTGAAATCGATGGAAATAGGCCTCAAAGCATCCGTGCCCTGAGAGTAACTGCGTGAGGTGGAAGTCGACCTCCCCCTACTCTCTGGTCACCCACTGCTCCACGTTTTTGATGAGACGCCATGTCCACCGACCTTTCTCAGCTGACTCCCAAGCCTCTTGCCATCGTTGGAGTAGCAGTTCCCGAGCATCTGTTCTTGCCATTCTGTCTAGCCTATCCGATCGCTCTGGTATTTGCAGCTCTATCGGTGGAAAATCTGCAATTACTGCGACAGCTGCAGTGGAGACTGTCCGATATGCACTGCATACTCGTAATGCCATCTTCCTTCCATCAGATTCAAGTTTCTGCCGTAGCTTGGCACAATTGAGTGCTGAGCGCCATATGGGTGCTGCATAGAGGAGGGCTGATAGCGCCGCAGTGCATAGAACCTTCCTTTTGCTGGCTCTAGGACCCCTACAATTTGGCATGAGTCTTACCAATGCCATCACAGTTTTTAACGCCTTTTGAACCTTTTTGTTTATATGGTCTGCAAAAGCAAGCTTGGTATCCAGCCAGACTCCGAGGTACTTCAAAGATTTGGTCGGTCTTACCACAACATCCTGCACCTTAAAGGTACTAGCAGACATCTTTCTCTTGGGTGACAGCCTAACTGCCTATGTTTTCTCCGGTGTAATTTGAATCGCGTGGTCTGCCAGCCAGCCAATTACCTCTTCGATAGCGCACACCATCTACCTAATCTACTTATAACACAGCTCAATATAACCTGTTCCACCAGCTGAGACAATAAGTGACTTCTGTCAATTAATCTGAAGGTTTTGAAACTTTTATTTCTAGCAAGACTAGATTGAGACATACTTGACCCAAAGCTTCTAATCATATTATCAAATATCCCTGGAATAATTGCAAAGACTGGTTTTATTGATGCATGTTGTTCAATGGGGTATTTAAAATATGAACGCATAAATTGGGTACACCAACTTTTGAGGGAAAACTTTTTAATCGACGACAAAGAATGAGAAAAGTGTTTTTTGGGATTCGATCGAAATTGCTGACAGGAACAAAGAACACTTCAAACAAGGTTGTTAAATATTTATGACTTAAAAGGCATAAAACACGACATAAAAAGCAGAAAACTAAACCGTGGGTGACGCCCAAAACAAGCAGTCCAGCCAAGATTGAGTGTATGAGTAGCTGTGCTAAACTCCGCCAATAAAGCCGTTTATTAGTACGAGTATTATTATTATTATCTAAGAGAACTGCACAACGTGGTGAAAAGCCAAATATAAGACAGCAGTGCATTAACAACAAGAAAGTATACAAGAAACTAGTTTCTTCGAGGATAAAAAGATATTAGAGTAGTCTAATAACATAGAGCAACAACAAATCTAAAAAAATATGGTAAATAGTCAATCAAGAAACCGGAATAGTAAAGAAACAGCATCACATAGTGCTAAAAAATGAAGACAAAGAACTCACTGACACCCTAGTGCCCGACAAGTTTGGCAAATATTTTTCCACAGCAGCAGAGAGCAAGTTAGCAGAACGCTTTAAATATGACGGCCCATCAATATTTCCATCACGAAACCTGGCATCATCATCATTGTTCTACGAGGTTGCCACCATTGAAGAGATCGTGGAAGTAATCAGCAGCCTTTTAAATAAAAGAAGCAGCGGAGATGATTTCAACACGGGTGATAAAGTTTTTGAAGAGTGAAATACCGTTCCCCTTGTCAATGCTTATTAATAAATCCTTATAACAAGGAAAACTCCCGAAGTGCTTGAAACAATCTATTGTGAATCCCGTACAGGGTGTCCGTACAAACCTTGAAAACTACAGGCCAATGTCACTTGTATCGATAATCTCTAAATTCATTGAAAAATGTCTGTATAAACGTATATTATGTTATCTCAAGCCCTATAATCTCTTATCAGACACCCAGCATGGGTTTAGACCTTCACGACCTATAGAAACGGCGACCTTTGAGTTTTTTCCCATATACGAGGATGTACCCAAAATTAACCGGAATAGCATTGCAGTGGGCGAAGCTTGTGTAGTACACATTTCTGCCCCTAGAGGCGTACAGCGCAACTATTACCAGATCAGTGCCACCTGCTTTTGCTTTTTGAGTATTAGCATATCCTTCAAGGCAGTGATATAAGTAAAAGGATATTCATAATCATCACCTTATTCTTGGCATAGGAAGCATATCCTCCAAAAATACTGAGTGCGGTCAATAGCAGACTCAACTTCGTAATGAAAGGTGGTCAAACGCTGATGGCAGAAATTGTGGATGTTAGGGATGTTAAAACATTCAAACCTCGTTTACCTTCACTTGATCGTGACTTCAAAAAATTATTTCGGTTCTACGAAGCAAATGTACAATGGCTTGCGGACAGATTTTTAGCTAAGAATAAGGAAACTCGAGGAAGAGCACCAGAAAAAATTTCTCAATGTTTTCGTCCTCAAGTGGTAATACCCCCTACGAATTTTTCAGTTGTTTGATAGGATAACATCCAAATCGCACTCCTTCCAAAGCAACTTCTATTGGGTTTTGAAAATTTCTTCGCACTTCCTCGGTCAACAATAGCGCAACGTGTTGCACTATACATTACAAAAACGCCTTAATATTAGGCAACACACTTCACACTACTACATAATGGGTGACCCACCAATAAATTTCAAGGTCACACCTCATACGCTTCTGTAGAATGTCAGTCGGACGGCACGTGTTGGATAATGTGGAGGTTATCAGTGGAAAAAAAGATGAAATCTCGGGGGAATTTTTAATAGTTGATAGTTTCAGAATCTCCAAATTTCTCCCAAAAGGAATCAACGCCTAATTTTAATTAAAGCCTTTCAAAATGATTTGCCTTCTAACAATAAAATAATTCCGTCGTAATCGAACCTCATCGGTCCAGTTTTTATTCGTCGACTATGTGTTCCCTTCACTGTTGTTTAAAAAACAATTTCAGCAACAATCTCGCCAGCTGAGTAAGTAAATAATTTTCTCCTAATTACTATTACTTGCTATTTTAATAATTGTTTCCAACTCCAGACGATGAAGAACACAGCAAAATTGGAGTCGATTGGTCAAGTAGTTTTTGAGAATCTCTAATTGCTTATACCAAAACACATCTTCCGGCCATCACTACTAGTTTACTGAGCAATATACAGGATTCGTACAAAGGACTTTTCATAGCAAAATACACTAGTTTACCTTGCCGCTATGAATCTCGAAAGATAATTGTTATTTTTATGCGAAAAAAAAGGCTTACGCTTTTCTTTTCTTGTAAACAAATTCAAACATTTCGTATTTTTGTTGTGTCTATCACCTTTTGTTTTCAGGATTTCTTCATACTCATTTGAATACATATTTAGAGCTGAAATTTTTACACGGTCACAGATGAGCCTTAAAGTCAGCACGCAAATTGAAGACACAATTATGCTTCAAACTGTTTTAAACTAGTCAGTATCTAGCATGTGCTAAATGTCTGCATAATTGATGACCGCACGACTTTGTCAAATTAGTACGTGACATAATCCAGTTGCTTTACGAAGAAATATAATTCCCTGGACCTTTTTTTCTGAAAGTATTAATATAGTATACCTCTGTTTTCGAAATCTCGTACGACTAAAATGACTGCGAGTTCAAAATGTTGGCAAAAAAACTCGAGAAAACGAAAAAACAGTAGACAAATTTCAACCAGTTATAGCGAACTAAAAATTAGGCAAAATACACCATATAAATCCCTAATACATTATTGAAAGCTTTAGCATTGTATCTTGTATAGTTTTCAAGAGTGCTTATGATAGATTTGATATGCCTTCAACGTTTGATTGACATTTATGTCATGTATAGTGGTATAAAGGTCCAGTAAACCAAGACAGCTCGTAGTGTAATGGTAAGGACTAACGATTGCGGAACGGCAGGACGGAGGTTCTATATTATTTCTTTTTTCAAATTTGTAGAAATAAATACTTTTTCACATTATGTGTACTTTTAATGCGATCAAACAGCTTTTTACACGCCATAGACTATCACATCAATAGCGAAAGGTGAATAGAGACATTTTACCGATAAGTCTCTTTCTTAGATAATATATAATAAAAGTACACTATTATGCAAGTTTTGACGTGTTCCCACGCCACTCGGCAGGGTCTGCCCTAGTTGTAGGTTCATAAAACATCCTTTACAATTGTTTTGACATTGTTCAAGCAAAATTACAGGGTGTTTTTTCGAAAAACAGAACCTTACCCTAATGCATAGTATATTCAGATAGCTTAATTTTTGCAGGCTCTAAGGGAACGGGCACTCCAGCAAAGGCTGACCAAGAAACCGCTTCCGTGCGAAATAAAGCCCGGAAGCGTGATAGAAAACGTGGCCAATTCGCGGCGATTGGCCGAAACGACCTTGGGTCCGACGGGGGACGACCAACCAACGAACACCGGAAGTGGGTCAGCGGAAGACGAGGACGACGATGACGGACCTCCGCTTACTACGGGGGAGGACGAGGAGGATTGCCACGTCATCTCCAATGACAAGAGCACCGAGTTCATATTGGCCACTGTTGTCGAAGAGGCAGCGTAAGTAGTTTTAAGACTCATATGTGCGTCTATATGTCCGCTAATTCTTAAAGCGCTTGGAAAGTACTGTTTGGATTTTGACGAATTTTCACTATGGACACTTGACGAAAAAATTAATGATGCTCATTTTTTTTAAATCTTTGTAGGGGTTAGGCATTGAAGATTAGTAGTTATAGGGGGCTAGAGGGGAATGTCTGTCGTTAGCATATTTATACGTTTCAAACCCCAGTGATTGAACGCACCTAAATACAAGTACATATTCCTCACATCATAAATTTCCGCTTATATTTGCCCTTGAAATCTGAATAAATATTCTCAAGAGGCGACATAGTTCTCCAGAAAAGGGAAAATCGATCGGTCGTACGAGCAATAAATAAAAACAAGAACCATACATGTCTGAAAGGTACTATCGGCGACCACTATGGCGGGAATATTGTAAGTCTGTTGGTAAATTTCTTTTTTTGTGGTATCATGGTATCACGACGCCAATTTAAGCCTGTCACTAGGAATCGATAATGTAACAATACCATCAACAAAATTGTAGGATTTCCTACAAGAGAAAACTGGATTCCTTTAACGTAACATCTGAAACTTATACTGTGGTCTTTATGCTGAAGGGTTTCATGAGTATATGTGAAGTTTGAGTCATTTTCGCTACTGACCTTTCAGCTACCACGGTGGCCTCTTTCAAGGCAAATTGTAATGACAATTTACAGGGTATTTCACAACTTATTCGAAAAATTTTAACCACATATGCACTGTTACGAAAGAAGCTGATTTCTCAAAAAAATAAAAATGTAATAAAAGACCTACAGAAATCGAGATAATAAAATAATACACTTTAGCTTTAGCTTACTTATAAAAGCTGTTCAAAATTGTTTCCATTGACTATAATCCAACCTTGGGCGCGTCTAATCCGATTTCGGCGCACTTATTCAAATACACCTCCTTCCTGCTGTGCCTGAAGGCTCAAATTATCGGCAGACAGTGTGATTCGGTCATGCAATTCTTCAATATTCTGAACTGGAGTTCGGTATACCTCGTTTTTCAAGTATCCCCATAAAAAGTAGTTCCGATTCAGCGTATCGGGTATACCTGATACAAAAAATCACGAACTTCTAAACGAAAATGCGGAGGTGCCCCATCGTGCAGAAACCACATCGGAGGTCGGACCTCCAGTGGCACATCTTCAAAGGGACCGGCAAATCGTACCGAAGAAATTCCAAATACTGGTGACTATCCGTCCGATCTGGCAATACGAACGGTCCAATTAGACGTTCATCGACAATATCTGCCCATACGTTTCAAGAAAAACGATGTTGGAAGTGTGTCTGGACCACTGCGTGCGGGTTCTCAAAGGACAAAACGTGTGTATTATGAAGAGTAAAAATAGCTTCATTCAGGCCCAAAATATCAGCTTCAGAACGGGCATTTCGGGCATTTTTACAACAACCACTCACAAAATCTTACTCTTAGGGGGTAGTCTGTAAGTAGCAACGGCTGGACTCTCTGGTCGTGATAAGGGTACAGTTCTTCATTGAGATCACCCACGATACAGATTAGACCTTATTTACACGTTCTGGTATTTTGTTTTCGTCAGTTGCTTGGTACAACATTTGCTACAATAAATTGTTAATGCGTGTTCTAATATCGCGACGATGAACGCAAAAGACAGATATTTATTTTTCAATTTGTTATTGAAACGTAGGTTTATAACTTAATTTCTGTAGAACTTTTGTTAATTTTTTTTGGAAATCAACTTCGTAACAGTGCATATGTGGTTAAAATTTGTCGGATAAGTTATGAAACACCCTGTATACTACATCCTTATAATTTCAAGATGTCACCAGCTAAAACTAGCAAAGTCCAGGACTGTCTGGAGATACAGAAAAATATCACTCTTTCCTTTGGCATGTAGTGTAGTAAAGATTCTTCACAGAATAAAAAGCTTAAGATCCCTCTAGAAGTGATTCGTACTATTAAAGTATCATATCAAAAGCCTCTTCACTCTCCATATTCTAAATAAAGCTGCTTTTGTCATCGAAGAATAATGCTTCATTGCTTCCTGTACATTGCATCGACTGTATAGCTAGGCAAAGGTTTGCCTCCGGTCTAAATTTTATGATTGAAAAAACTGTAATGATCCGTACTGCTCTGGTGGGTTCTCGAAAAACAATCAAGCATTTTATTTTCCCAGCGCTTCCTGTAATCGCTGCCATGAAAAATTGTTACATGAAAGCGCGTCGACTGAACAAACGTTTGAACAGGCAAAAGCGCAGGAAATTCGGTGCTACGTTCTGTTGAATGAGCTCAATTCGTGGCAGTTAGCGGAAAAACACGCTGGGAAGATGATTCGAATAATAGCTGCTGTTCATACATCCAAAAAAGGTGAATTTTGCCTGTCATTCAAATGCAGATGAGTTTTACGCTCCAGTCGCTTGCTATGCGATATGGGGTTGCGACTCCTCAGCTAACCATTGTATTAGCAGTCAGTGACATGGTTGGTCTGACGTACTGAGAGTGGTGCTCTGCGTAAAAGATGTTTACAAGCTTGTTACACTTGGGGCCGCATCGTCAGTCGTCCTACAATTGAAGAGTTTGGTGTAAAAACCGGTAAGCTCCACCTTCTACAATGTAAAAAAATATAACTATAATTGGAGTTGTCATTGTAATGCGTTGAGGTAAGAACCAGTTAGCTCCGGAGCTGTCCAGTTCCAACTGCGTGGATGTGTATGTGTAGTGGTGCGTCCAGCATTATTTAGTCTGAAGCAAAGGCCAAACTGCAACTGGAAAAATCCCTCCATCTTGCAAAATCAGAAGATTTTTACACATCGCTGAAAGAAAAATTCACTCAGGTCAGAAATGAAGAGTGTGTTAGGGTCTTTTGCTTTGATTATCAGCAGAACATGTTTTTACCGCATTCGAGCCCCTTCCCACTTCAGTTGGCCCAACTATTGAAACCTTAGTTTTTTTCTTATCAAACACAAATAATAAAAATGTAGCAGGGTGTTATAGGTTTAAAATATTAACAATGAATATTTTGATAATATATAGTAGACAACACCAACTTTATCACTCCATAATCAAATTTGCAGCATAAAAATAACACACGTTGCAATTACAGCATATCAACCTATTTTCATTTCAATGCAAAATAAGTCTATAACGCATAGGTGGCTGTAAAAAATAAAAGCCATGACAATTGTTTTTATTAATCACAGCTGTCAGAATACGATTAAAATAGTTTTGGGTAGTTAAGATTTTCAAAATGGGTAGAGGAAAGGTTATTGTTATTAGTGAGAAAATTCGGTTACTGATAATTAAATGTTTTAATTCTGGGAAATCAAACTCAGAAATTGCAACTTTGTTAGACTTATCGCGGTACAGTGTAAGAAATATTGTTAGAAGAATAATCGTGAAAAACATGCTTGCCAATTATTTACAATTAAGTGCTCTGTGGGGTGACGCTGTTTGAACGAGAATTTCGAGGCCCACAACTCGAAGAGAGGTCCACAAACTGGGATTTAGCACTTGCAAGGTAAGTTTTCTTATAAAAAAAGTGAAGTAAAAACCCTAAAGTTGCACAACTTTTTTATAAGCCAAAGAAAAGCCACTATTAACTCCACTGCAAAAGAAAAATCGGCTTAGATGGGCCAAAGGACATAGACAATGGACACCTAAACAATCGTGTGCAATAGAATGGAGTGACGAGGCCCGATTCGAAGTTTGTGTTGGTGACAGTCGCAGTAGAGTTATTCGCAAAAAAAATGAACCATTCCATGTTGACTGTCTGAAGAGAAAAGTGAAATTTCCAGCATCCATTATGGTCTGGGGCAGTATGTAATCAAAAGGAGTAGGAAAACTTCATTTTATTGATGTAAATGTATATACAAACAAATATTTGGCAATTTTAGAAGAATCGCTTTTACCAGTGATGGAAGTATGTTTGACATTCGGCCAAGATTTTGTGTTTCAGCAAGATGGTGAAGCGTGCCATACCTCAAACAAGGCTATAAAATGGATGGAAGAAAATAATGTTCCACTTTTTAAATGGGTTTCTAGCAGCCCCGATCTGTCACCTATTGAAACTTTGTTGGACGAGATGAAAAAAGTCCTACGACAACATCTTGCTCGTACAATCACCGAACTGAGACAAAAGCTTTAAGAAATATGGGATTGTTTTACACCAAATTATTGCCAAAACTTGGTTAACACTATGCCCCAAAGAATTTCAGCCGTAATAAAAAATAAAGGTGACGTTACCCAATGGTAATCTTTCAATTGTTGCTTTGTTAACTTCGCGCATTTATTCGCACATTGTTTATTTGTTCAGATGTTCTATTAGTTATAGGTCTAAGTGATTTATATACTTATATATCAAACATTTAGGTTCGTGTTATCCGGAAGTTCGTTATAAACGGCTTCGTTCTGAGCGAACATGTATAGGTGAAAAATTAAAGCTTCCGCCTTTTGTTGGGTACTTCGACAAAATTTAAGCAAGGAGGACTCTTTATACTTCTTTTATTCTCTCCAGCTTTCAATGGTCTTTGCCATCATCATCAGGAGAGCAGTATGTGAGGATGTTGCTAATTGTTGTTTAGGTTAAGGATGAGGGAAACACCCAGTAACATGGTGAAAGTTGAATAAATGGTACAATGGTCAAAAATATACAAACTACACACAGCTGTATGATAAGAACAAGTTAAAAACAGATTAAATTTAAAAATTTAAAAAACGAAAGTTAAGCATTATATCGTGAAGCCACTTGATGGTGCAATCATGATGATGATGATGGCAAAGACCATTCAAAGCTAGAGAGAATAAAAAAAGTATAAAGAGTCCTCCTTGCTTAAATTTTGTCGAAGTACCCAACAAAAGGCGGAAGCTTTAGTTTTTCACTTAACTGGTCAAGACGACAATGACCACGTCTCAACTTATATATGTTATATATATATACATATAATTAAACGTTGTTGACGTGATTACAATCAAAACAGACG